ATTTTATGTTTATTGAAAAAAAAAGAAAGAGGCTTATTTTTGAGAAAAATCTAGAAATATAGATATTATAAGCAAGAAGAAAATAAAATAAATAGAGAATTTAGTAATTTTAGATATATTTAAAATTTATAGATTATTTGTATTTTATATTATAATAATATAAAGAAGAAATGATAATATAGAAAAAATTTATTTTTAGTTTTTTGTTATTATTTTTTATATTTTTGGCTTTTAAGTTTTATATAAAGAAAAAGATAAAGAAAAAAAAAAAATTAGTATTAAAAAAGAAAAAAAAGATTAAAAATATATTTAATTAGTATTAGTTTAGAGATTATTATATAAAAATATATATTTAATATATATGAAAGTTTTTTTATTTCTAAATTTTATAGACAAAGTGATTAGAAAAATTATTATTATTATTATTATTATTATTTTAATAAATTATTTTAAATAATTTAGTTTTATAAGAATAAAATTATATAATAATTCTTGATTTTTTTAAATTTTTAAGATTTTTAAGAAATTATTCTAAATTAAATATAGTTATATTATATTAAAATAATAAGTTTCTATATATTATCAAGTTTTTTTAAGATTTAATATATAAATTTTAAATTATTAATAAAATATATAACTTAATTTAATTTTTTCATATCTTTAATTTAATTAATAATATTTTTAAATTGAAATCATATTTTTAAATTATATTAATTATTATAATTTTAATAAAAATATTATTAGTAATTAAATAATTAAAATATAAAATAAATTTTAATAAGAAAATTTTTTTAGTTATTAAAGATAACTTGATTTTTAGTAGTTTTAATTTTATTTAGATATTAATATATTTAAAATTAATTTTAATATATGAAATTTATTATTATTTATTTTTAATTTTTTAAGTGATAAGAATAATAATAGTTTATAAGATTTAGATATTTATATTTCTTTTTATATATTGAAATTTTAAATAAAATTCTTAATATAAAATTAGTATTTTAAATTTTCTAATACTTATATTTCTAGTAATTTTAATTTTAATAAAAGTAATAAATATAATAATAAAATTTTATTAATTAATAAAATTAATAATATTATTAATAAGTTCTGCAAATTATTTACTTAAGATAAATATAATATATTATATATATATATAAATTTATATAAATTTATAAATATAAGTATATACTAAGAATATAAGTTTATATATAATAAATATCTTAATTCTAATAGAGTTTTAGTCTTTTTTACTATTATTAAAGTTATAATTTTCTAGTTATATATATATTTTTAATAAAAAAATTATATAAAAATCAAGTTAAACTAAATAAATATTATTTAATTATATAAATTTATATTTATTTTATTAAGATAAAATAAAGTTAAGAAAAATTTAAAATAAAAAGAAAGTATTTTTAAATAATAAATTATTAATATATAAATACTTAAAAAAAATTAATTATAATATTTTTAAAAGAGATTTATTATTAACTAAATATATAAAATAAATAATTATAAATAATAAATATAAAAATAAAAATTTACTAACTAAATATAATAAATAAGAAATAAAAAAAATTCTATCTAGAAAATAATTAAAATTAAATTATCTTCATATGATACTTACTCTAGATTATTATAATATTTATGTAATTAGTAATATTAATTAATATAAATAAAAAAAATTATAGAAGATAAATCAAATTATAAAAGTATTAATCTTATTCTAATCAAGATTATTATGAATAAAATAAGAATTTATATTATTATATTCAGTAATAATATAGTTTTATCTTGACTGAAAAATTATAACTTTTTAAAATATCAAGTTTAGAGCAAGAATATGAGAAAGATCTTTTCAGATAGTTTCAATTAGTATAATAGGATGGATATTATTTAGATTATCTTACCAGTCATGTGATTTAGAAATTAAGATAACTTGTACAGATTTTTATTCAGATGAAATATCATTATTAAGATATAGATTATATACGTATAATACAAGATTATATAATTCGGGACTTGCTTTTTTTAAAAGAATATATTTTATATCAGAGGAATTGGAGCTTTCTGTAGTACTTTGTCAAGTAACATTTGATTAAACTCATCAATTGTAATAGGAAAGAAAATCTGAATATATTATCTAGAATAAGATACATATTATTATTGCTATTTAGTATTAGGTCACAAATCATATTTCTGCTTTCTAGTCCAGTTTTTAAAGTGAGATCTTACTGTTTTTAATAACTTGGGAATGATCAGAGAATCCAGTTTTATTTGACGAAACTCTTTTTCAAGAGCATTATGCCATGCTGGAAGCCATATCTCTGGATATTGAGATTGATTGCTTTGTTGATTTCATGAAAATTCGGTGAATAAGCACCAACACCCTTGGCCCGCCTTATAATTTTGACCAGCATTATTAGTAATTTTGGCCCACCATTGCAAAAAAAAAGGTGCCGGATTTTATATAATAATCAAATATTTGCTATTTTGGAGGAAACATTTATTCTAGTGTGGCTAAATTAATTTTCGCTGATGTAAAAATGACTTCTTTATTTTTTTCTGTTATTGATAATTAGAATACTTAAATAAGAATACCTACGCCATCAAATTTTGGAACTGATTGCTTATTTTCCAAATGCTTAGCTGTCGGGTATGTGATTTAAGAGTAAATCAATCAAAATCGAGGTCCGGTTATTGTATATTGTTTATACAAGAGATTTTAATTTCTAAAGTTAATTTCTTGTTTCTTGCAGACTTCCGCCAAATGACAATTATTAATCTTAACTGTCTCGTCAATGAAAGCGACAGTGAAAAAGAAACTTTTACAATTAAACTTTCTAACGACAAAAGTATGAATTGCTCAAACATATGGTAAAAAAAACACTTGGCACCTTTATTTGATTCCATTCCTTTACTCAAATCATTCTCCGTTCATCTCCAAATGGTTTAATTTTTAAAACAAATGGTTAAAATTTCTCAAGACTTTACTACTAGCCCTGAGGAAAATGACATTCATATTTACGTAGACCCCCCCCCAAAAAAATTAATTTTTTTTATTTGTATTTTTTTATTATATAATATTTTTTTATTTGTATTTATTTGTATATTGTTGTTCAAGTAACATTTTTTTTATGAAATAAAGAGGGGTCCAGTGGGTTCATTTGAACGCGATTGTGAGCTGAAAGTGCAGTATTACATCAGTTTATGGTAGTAGACATTAGCATGAAATATATGCAAACGTATTAGGCTGTTCAACATATATTTCGGTTAACTTGTACATGTAATTGCATTTACACGAAAAACAATAACCATGCTAACAAAAATGCACTTTAATTTTTAGAACTATCTTCACCGCTCTAGGAAACAATAGACAGTCTTTCTACATGCGGATGTAAAATATGGTTACAAAAAATTCTTATTCAAATTTCATGTAATCTTTTTCAAAACGTAAAAAATGGGATTTATTGAGTGCTAAAAATAATTCACGATCATAAAAAATTTATTACTACGTGATCAATTATTTTGGTCTTGGTTAAAGTACATTTTTGGTTGTATTCGTGCCGTTTACAATGCAGATTGTAAATGACAATAATAGGAATGCTATATTAAAATAAAAAGTATTTAGAGAACGTAAGTATTTGATTAACTCATCCATTCTGAGAGGCGCCGTCGCTTTTTTGAGGGTTCGTCATCAGACATTATATCGAGATAAATATTATCAACTAAATGATGGTCATACTCCCTTTTGATGAGTTTATGCCAGCCAACATCTAAATGCCAGTTAATAGTAGGGTTCAGACTTTCAGGATACTTTGCCCCTCCTTCTCTTCCCGCCCAATCAAAATCCACAAATTTTATATCAATTTCTCCATTTTTGTACTTGACCAATATGTTTTCGTCCATGTACGTAACCGAATCATGAGACGACTGTTAACTACATTTTTTGTTTGGGGAAATATTTTTTGAACGGAAAGTATGTAGTGGTTTATATTCCTCCAATTATTCCATGATGACAATCTTCTAGCTTATTAACAGCCCATAATTTTGGTGCTAAACCTAGTTCGAAACATGTACTATGTGCTTCTTTTGAATATTTTTGGGTGAATTTGACTAAGCCCTTCTCTTGCGTATTTTTGGTCTGGATTTTAACAATTCAAAAAAGTTTATATTAGTAAAATTTTTTTATAAAAGATATATAATAAAAATTTTTATATTTAAATAAA